TGTGACGTCAACCTAGCAACAAAGTTGCTGGGTCATCGACTGTGTATAAGCTCGTGTCAGTGATCTATCATCTCCACACGCAATTGGCACACACCCTGCTCCTCCCTCCCTCCTCCCTCCCTCCCTCCTCCTCCTCCTCCCTCATCCTCCCGCCGCCGCCATCTTGGATGAGGATGCCCCCTCGGAACCGGACGTGACGTAGAACCCACTTCTGACTGACGTCATCGAACCCGGAAGTGCCGCCATCTTGGATGCGCACGCTCTCCCCGGAACCGGAAGTGCCGCCATCTTGCGCATGCGCAGAGTCACTTCCGGTACCAGGGTACTGTCTACAACTACTGATATTATGTCTGGGAGATGGGATCTTGATACCTCAGGCTAGTATTTTTCTAAAAGCCTTAGATCTATTCTCATTACCTTAGACTAGCATCTAACTAAAAAGCTATAACTGAAACTACTGATATTTCATATATGCATCTTACCTGATGATATGTATTACTTGCTAAACAATTATTATATGAAATGATGTATAATTATTACACCATGATAACTCATAAAAGCACTTGATGTGGATCTAATTATTATAGGAAAACTTAGTATAAATGTTATATCATGATAGAAAAATACACATGATTATATAAAAATATCCTGTCATTTTCAAGCATACAGAGAACAAATTTGTAAATTTTCTTGAACTTACCTGAATTATGTGATTGAATGCGGAATGTGTTTCATATTAGGAACCTGTATAATTCATTCTATTTGTGCACACTGATTTCAATAATCACATCTCCGATATCTTGAATTTCAATGAGATAAACTTGCATGTTTTTATCGGCAAACATTGCATGATGGTAAATTATGAACCATTTCAGTAAATATATTATAAATTTTTTTAACAGAATAAAAACTTATTTTTCAAGGTCATCATGTCAGTTGCAGATATGAGAATATTAAGGTAAATTAAGTACTGCTGCAAACCTGTTTTTCCATTATCTGCTATCACAGTATCACAACTTCTTCAGCTTTTCAAAAAAAGATTTTCAGAAGGAGTTTTCTTTAATAGACCTAAGTCAAACCATGTGACAAGTTAGGTAGAATTAAAACTTTAAAGTCCCTCATTTCTGAGGCGTCCATATTTTTCACATTTTTTTTCTTCTATTTTTGGGACAAAACATGAGCCGTCTAGATCTACCTGTTATGATACGTAAAGCCAATTCTTGTCTTCAAATGTGAAAAGGAATCATTCAGACAAGATTTTATTTTAATCCCATCGTTTTATAAAAAAATCCAGGTGAAATGTAGTGATTTTTGTACCCAATAGTTCTAGTGATTTGGTACCCAATCAGGTATGTGATTTTGTAGATCTACCTAGAATAGTTTTGCTTTAGTTTCAAAGATATACATTAATTTTGATATAAAGTTAATCTACTATCACATTCCTATCCAAACAATACAGTTATCTTAGCTTTAACCAACTTAACTGGCCTCTTCTTCAGTGACAAGACATCCCTTTTCTATCAAAACCAAACCATCAATTTCATATTATGAACTTGATGAAATGTTTTATTATATGTTCTGCTCAATTATTAATATACATGAAAACATAAACATAATTATAGATCTATTGTCTTATTTTAGGTACAAATTCACAAAGTATTTTGGGTACAATTCAATTTGCTTTGGGTACAAAATCATATAGGGCCTACATATGCACCCTCCATCCTGTTGCCGTGTCCCTAAAGTTTCATCTGTTCTGAGGACGGGCAGTTCTCAGAAAAAGTTTTCAACAACATGTATAATTGTTCTTTTTGAAATGATAGACCAATAACAATATTATGTTGTTATTATTATGTCATATCAATATGATATATCGCTCCCCGTCACTACGTTGTCAGAAAACATTCAATAAAACATCGACAGTGGAATCCATGCATTACATTTTCAGATTAAGGCTTAAAACACTTGAGGAAGGCTACCGGTAAAGGAACCATGTGGTTGGTATTGGGTTAAGAGTGGATTTATAATCTACAATGTCATCCCAACAAAATGAATAATAAATGAACTAAATAGCTTTAAAACTGACGGTGTAGTGCCTTGTCAAAGAATGGTATGATTAGAATTTGTGGAATCTGTTTAAGTGAGAAAACATGTTTTGTTTGTTTGTTGTTTAATGCCGCACTCAGCAATATTCCAGCTATATGATGGCAGTGTGTAAATAATCGAGTCTGAACCAGACAATCCAGTGATTGATATCATGAGCATCGATCCACGCAATTGGGATGAATGACATGCATCAACCAAGTCAGCAAGTCTGACCACCTGATCCCGTTAGTCGCCTCTTACGACAAGTATAGTCATCGCCTTTTTGGTAAGCATGGGTTGATGAAGACCTGTTCTATACCCTGGATCTTTGGAGAAAACGAATGCTGACATTGTTGTGTGTTTTCGCTTTACCATAATACAATAATTATAACGAAGTTACAGTGTGCTCATCTGCATATATCTTGATATTAGCAGAGGTATAACCTTGCTAAATCGAAAAAAGTATAACATTGCTCAAACAACGCACGCATGCGTAATAGTGGAAGTGGTCCCTTTATACACAAGACCATCAGTTTTGTATTAAACGTAATCAACAAATAATAAACCCTTACACTCGCATTTGTACCATGGACTGAACAACTTGAATTTTATTTATTACATAATTCAGTTTTCAATAAAATGGATGCAATTAATAGAAGTATGCAATTAAAAGAACAAAATTTTTATCATGTTTTACATTTTATTATCAATCTAACGTCAAGAACCTGGACTCCCATTATCCATCGTCAAACTCATCATCACCCAAACTCTCATCATTATTATTGCAATCGCAAAACTTAAAAAATGTTCATACAAGCAGATACTTATTCAATGTTTCTTTTTGATGATACGTGACTTTATCGTTTGAGAGATACAGAGATAACTTTGAAATAATTATGAAAAGAACCTTTTTCGTATCACTGACAGAAAAAGCAGGTATCTGGTATTAAAAGTGTGTTATTTTGAATGTTCATTGAAGAGAGCTTTCTATACGACAAAATTGTATATTTTTTATATAGACATGGATGCCAGAGACAAAATACATCTTTTAATTTAAGGGGACTAGTTGGTCATATTTACCCTTGTGATATATTTAGCTGAATGATTATTATAAAAGAACTTTGTCATTATTTTGGACAATAATTGAGTTGTCATATATTCCCTTTCTTAACATACAAACACAAAAATACAAAAATACTATGTTACTGTCAACATATTGTATTATTCATGTTCAAATGTTGAGGCCCATGAACCTCCACCAGAAGCCTGGTCAGAGCAGACATGTGAGGAATGACGAAAAGTGCCCGATGAAGCCAACATAAAATATTGCTTTCCCCATGTGTTTTGCAGCGTCTGTGTGCTCACATTAAACTGCATAAAAGTGCGTCCAAATATGTGGTACTTTTATTATACCTCTAAATAATTTCAATTTTAAGGACATATATCATAATTATTACAGTCCATACGTAACAATTAAGTCTTTTGTTACTCATTCAGCACATTTTTTTACATACTCTTAATTTTAGCCGATTCCTCCTAAATGGTGGTCGACTATGTGGTCCCTTTACCTGTAGCCTTCTCCATTTGATGTTATGCACCGGCAGCAATCACGAAACAAATATAAAACATCGGAGTGAAGACTGCTACCCAGGTCAATACATAGTAAACAGTTGACGATAGATATTAAATTATGTAACTTCTGTTGAATCTTTTTGGGAAATTATCGACGATAGTTTTTTCCTTGATGTGTGAGATGCTGTATGTGCTTTCGTTTTTAGCAATGATACATAAAATTGCAAGTATGTTAATTGTTTTTTGTAATCTGCATTATTTTGCTAATGAATGGTTTACCTAGAATGTATATAAATTAAGATTTCACATCGCCCAAACTTGTTGGTTACGTTCGTCGGCTAGTTAACAGCAGGCAAATGTCAGAAAGTTTATGAACAAAATCATTTGCAAACTCGATAAAAATGAGATATTTTTTACAAAGATTTAAATGAAATTAGATGCAACCAAATGATTGTACTATTACGGGATTACAATGCATGTGGAGTTGTTTGTTCACCACCGTTGCCATGATTGTACAAGTTCCATCTAATTGATGGTGTTACGATTCATTTTGTGTTTGTTTCCAATTACTTACACCGAAATTTGCTAATTTTTAGACATAAAGGAACTTGAGTGTTTTCTTTTTGTCAGCTAACAAAAATATATGGTCAAATGTAAAAAATGATAACATTATAAAAAAAATATCGGACTGCATGCAACTCAACATGAAGTGCCAAAAGATAACAATGGCCGTTTCTGGTAGTTGTATGCCGGGAAATCTGGTTGAAACTTCTTTAACTCGCGATATGTTTTTTTAGGTAAATAAACTACTGAAAGTTTGGCAGAAAGTTTTGATATAGAGCAAGCTGATAATTTATGTATATCATACGTACTTTAAATGTTCCGGAAATCCTTTTTTGCAAATAGATATTGCGAGCTTTGTTTTTGGGTGTCCTTATGCTATTCGCCTGTCGAATGGGATCGACATCAGATGCACGGCTAGTGACACACTCTGTCGAATGGCTTTAGAGCTTAAGAGGCTAAAACAATGACTGGTCGGCTCGGAGTAAGTATACTGTGTCCTAGTGGGATACTCAAGTTAAACTCTGGCATGGTATCTCACGTGGGCTAGCACTATAAATTGGCATTAGTCCGGACTAGTAGCTTAGCTTCATATTCAATTATCTCATATTCAATTATCTCATTAGGATCTGGTGATAGTGAATTAATGTTTGACCAGTGATAACGTGCAGAATGATGACATTTTTTGCAAATACGAAACACTCATAACTCCAGATTGTTATTAGAGTAACATCCCTGTCACACTGTGAACCACTGATAATGCAGTTTTGTCCATTTTTTACCTGAACCAGTGGATTCCATTCTGGAAGCAGTGTTGACTGTATCACCGAACAAGCAGTATCTCGGCATTGTCAATCCTACAACCCCAGCGACACAGGAACCTGGTGATGATATAGAATAGGAAGTACATATTCTGATCTTGTTAGTGTGACACATATATCAGTTCCATCCAGCCTGTGTGGCATATAGATCATTTTAAACAAATAAATAGGTGGATAGTTTCGTATCATCATTTAAAGGGCAAGTTCACAGGAAAATGACCCTATTTTTCTTGTACTTTTCAATATGAAAAGTATTTACCAAGTTATCACAAGCAACTAATTTATTCTTTGAAAGGCATTTAGAAGTGATACACATAAGGAAGAGAATTTATGGATGTCAACTTCTTTATTATGAGGAACACAACGTTTTGGAGTATATGCTTACTCCTTCCTCAGGTGGATGAGTGATATGAGGCAGAGAGCATATATATGTACATGTAAGGACAACAAAAGTAATAAGATAGCAAAAGGTGGAAACTTAACACGGGAAGCCAACAGATAATTGGCGCTGATAGGCGATTAGCAACAGACAATGACAGCCAACACTTTACAGCAATTGGAGCTAACAGTTATGGACAACTAGTCTCCTTTTATTATCTTATCAGGGCTCCAAGCCAAAAGGCTGTAGAGCCCTATTGTAATCGTTCAATTAATTATTAGGGCTCCAAGCCTAAGGGGTGTAGAGCCCAGTTGTAATCATTCGATTTATTATTATTATTATGGCTCCAAGCCGAAAGGTGTAGAACCCTATTGTAATCGTCCGATTTATTAGGGCTCTATGCCTGAAAGGCAAGAGACCTATTGTAATCGTTCGATTTATTATTATTATTATTTAATATTATTCCGGCATTTTTTATTCCAATCATAACCCAAGAACTACAGCTCAGAATCTCTTCAAAATTGGCACCAAGATTTCCAATGTCCTGAAGCAGATACCACAAAAATCCCAAGGCCGTAGGCATGTGTCTGCTGCTTTAGGTGCTTGACATTTTTTGTTCTTTGACTTTGGCCATTGGTCATGTGGTTTGGCAGCCAAATTGAATTCAAGGTTTTCACGGTGTTTTTCGGTACATGTCTTCAACCCATGCTTGTCTTTAGGCGATTATCGGGATCGGGTTGCCAGGCTCCCTGACTTACTACTTTACTTACCCAATTGCCAAATGCTAGCGTACCTTACTCTTGATGACATTTGCGGATTTCTTGGTCGGAAATGGGTTTAGAACACTCTGGTTCACTCTGGCACATTCCAATTTCGTAGCGGTGATGTCCTGCAAACGGTTAACTATCTTTTGACGGAGTTGGTACAAGCAAACCCTATTAGGATTTGAGGTCGGAGACGGGTTCAGAACAGCTCTGTACACCCGGCAATGTCACAGCGTCGATGTCTCCAGCCGGTGCCTACATTTAACGGCATTGGTACAAGCAAACCATTTGAGGATTCGAACAAGCTTGAAGTCAAACAAGGGTTAAGAACTCACTGGGACACATGTGGTGATGTCTCACAAGCGGTTCCTTGCATTTGACGGCGTTTGTACAAGCAAACCATATGCAGATTCGAACATGGACGGCGTCTGAAATGGGTGTAGAACATCCCGGGATGTTCTTGGTAACGTCAATGTCATAGATGCAATGTCTCGCAATTTTTCTCCCGGACTATTTGACCCCTGCCACAAACTGCCATACAGCAGACCTCTGAAAACTTGTATCTTGGAAACTACTACAATAATCATATTGTCCATTTGTAATTGTTCGATTTATTTTTAAGGCTCTATGCCCTGGGACACCCCTGCACACACGTCTTACTTTTGACGGCATTGGTACAAGGAAACCATTTGAGGATTCAAATACGAACAAGGAATGGAACGGGTTCAGAACACCCAAGAATGCTCTGGCTCCCGCCAATTTTGTCAAAACGGACTAATGACATATCAAGTAATAAATTACACTTTAGCATACTAATGTGCACTGCATTTATAAAATGGATTCAAGTTGGCTCGAACTAAATGACTTATTGGCATGAGATGTATTTTGCCCCGTTGCTCGGACATCGCTAGTCCGATTACTTTCACACTCTACATGTGCCTGCTGCTTTAGGTTCTTGACATCTTTTGTTCTTTAACTTTGGCCTTTGGTCACATGGTTTGGCAGCCATTTTGGATTCAGGGTTTTCAGAGTGTGTTTTGGGTACACAGGTCTTCAAAAGCATACGACTCTGAATCCACCATATGAAATGCTACCAAACTTTCTGAGATTTGTCTCCGTACATAACACATCAAACATTGATATATTTGATGGGATAGTTATTAGTTGCGGCCATATTTGATTTTGATTTTGATACCCCCCGGCGTACCATCAACTCATCAAAGGTCCCAATCAGCCATAATCCTATTGTTTATATTACTGGCTTCATCCTTTGTTTATGTCACTGACTTCACCGACGATTGTCATCACTACCCTTGTGTGTACATAACAGGCTTCTCTACTCCAGTATAACATTATCTACTCTACTGTATAAACATTGCCTCCTACTTGTATATATATATACTTGTCAACCACACACTGTATATCACTTGCTTGATAACGGTGTTAGAACCTACACCGAAACGTCACTCTTAATTGTAATAAAGAAGTTGTTCATCCATAAATTCTTATCCTTACTTAGTACTCCAACTTCTAAATGCCTATCAAAGAAGAAGTCAGTGAAATATCAAATTATTAATTACATTATATAATACTCTTATGCACTGTATTATAAAGTGGATTCAAGTAGGCTGAAACTGAATGACTCAGTGCTTCTAGAAATCATAGAGCCCGACATCGCTGCGCGCAACTATATTTTATTATTATTATTATTCCGCCGATTTTTGTAACAGAGCTAGCAAAGTAACCACAGGCTCGATTCCGTTCCCATTTTGTATGTGCATAGAAACAGTTGAGTTCTAGATCGAAACAAATAAAGTTTTGAATATATGTTTTGCCCTATTGCTCTGCAACCGCAAGTCAGATTACTTTCAAACTTTGCATGTGTCTGCTGCTTTAAATGGTTGACATTTCATATTCTTAAACTTTGGTCATTGGTTTGGTGTTTTGGCAACAATATTGGATTAAATGTTTTCACTGTGTGTTTTGGGTACATGTCTTCAAACGCAAACTCCTCTGAGTCCACTGGCACTCATGAAGAGCAACCTCCCCGTGGTGAGTGCTGGGTAACGCTAATAGCTCTTCCCCCGTGTGGAACCGGGGCAGAATGATTCCTCAGCACCCCATTGCTAGTCGTAAAAGGCGACCAAATTGGGCAACCTGTTTGCCGTGGGTTGCGCCCCTGTGTCGGCGGAGGACAGGATTCTGGTAGTTGAGAGCACTGGTTCCAGGAACAGTGTTCCTATGCCCAACACACTACTTTGACCCTTACTTCGCCTAGACGGGTGGTAGAATGGGCCCAATTCTATCAATCGGCTGGTCATGCCATGCCCTGTGCATGGTATATCTCCATTTTGAATATAACCTTATATTCCACATAATAATTATGGAAAACATCACATTTTGATTACAATAGAAATCTGCCTAGAGTCCTATGCCAGAAGGCGGTGGCTCATGGGCCAATCTGGCATTACGGACCTCCGGGTTCTATTTGTCATCAGATAACTGTCTAGGGCAGAACCAGCCTGACTTTTAACCCTGTTTGTCAATAATAGCTACCTGTGTCCTTATTGCTTGAGTATAACACCCTTGTAGCCCTGGTGTTTGTAGTTGGCTTCCACTACATCACCGTCCTTGTTGACACTCCATGGTGGGTTGGGAACAGGGGTGTCGAATAACTTTCTTTCATTATGGCTACCCCACACTTATCTGGTTCTCGCACAAAAAGTAAACGCAGGCATATTGATTCAGATCCTGCAGTATCTTCAGATGAGGATTCTGTACCACATATTGATTCTTGGCCACGTTTTCTGGTTATTGAAGGTGTTGATGGTGAACCCCTCAAAATCAACCCCTTTGTAGTATCAAAATCTATTGAAGGAATATGTGGAACTGTAAAAAATGTTACTCGTCTCCGATCCGGTTCATTACTTGTGGAATGTGCACGGAGACAACAATCTCAAAATCTGCTCCAGGCACATCATTTCGCTGATACTGAGATTGTTGTCTCAGTTCACAAGACTCTGAATTCCTGTAGAGGTATTGTTCGCGACTATGCGAAATGCCTTTCAGATATGTCCGAAGATGAAATTGCTGCAGAGCTTAAAAATCAAGGCGTTACAACCGTCAAAAGATTCTCTAGGAAGGATGGTGATACATTCATTAAAACGAATACCTACCTTTTTATGTTTGCACTGACAAAGCTCCCTTCTTCCATCAAAGCAGGGTATTTCAACATTGGGGTGGATGTATACATCCCCAATCCACTCCGATGTTTTAAATGTCAACAATTCGGACATGGAGCAAAATCCTGTCGCAACAAACAAGTTTGCTCCCGCTGCAGTAGAAACCATGATGGCACTGAGTGCACAGAAACCATCAAATGTGCAAACTGCAGTGGTGAACACATGTCCTTTTCAAAATCATGTCCCTCTTTTGTCAGACAAACTAAGATTCTTAAAATCAAGTACAGCAATGACATTTCATTTGCTGATGCAAAGTAATTACTAGAGAGGGAGTCATCCCCTTCCCCTTCTACTCTATCTTACTCTGCAGCAGTTTCCTCTTCAACTCTCAAAGTAGACCATGGGTGCCAAACGGCAATTAACTGGGTCTCCGATGTGCAGACCATTTTATACAAAATTGATGCTGCGGTCACCCATACTTCCTCTACATCAGGTTCACAAACTGAGCTTTCAGCAGAACCTCTACCAGACACTGACACTGTACCTGACCCTGAAACTCCCCCCGAACCTGTTGCTGTATTGAAACAAAATGTAACTGTTACCAGAAAAGCAAATAAAGAACAAAAGAAAAAGGAGTCTAAGGCCCTTAAACACATTGAGGTTCCTTCTACATTGACAACCCCACTGGAGGTTCATAACTCTTTTGAACCTCTAGATATGGAGGTCACTCCATCG